CAAACTTAGCTTTATTCAAACAAGTACATTACAAGCGCAAAAGCGTATTACAAAAAGCAATACAATAGAAACACTAATACACCAAAGAAGCAAAAGCTTTACAAGAGCCACGACCCTAAACTAAGTCGGGGGCCACGACCCTCGCCAAGCTAGAGAACAAGTAAACTCCGCACGCTCATCATCGAGATCGTGCATCACAAAATCGAACATATCCCGGACAGAAGCGCGAGACAAGGTATCACGCTAGTATCCCCACAACTCTCCGCTGACATAGACACCATGTCGCATCATAGTTAAAGGAACAATGTCTTGCGCAGGCCCTAAGGGGTAACCTGCGCAGATCAAATTTACATCAAGATACAAAAACACAAAGTAGCTTGCGAAGACCCACTATACATTAAACCTAAAAAACATCCAAAAAACCTAAAAACTAAACCTCCAGCACCATAGGTGTGGAGGCAGCCTCTCCAGCCCTAGGAGCATCGACGACCGCAGCAAGGGACCTTTGGCCCGGCGCCTCCCTAGTCTTCGACGTCTGCTCTTCAGCTACATGTTCCGCCCCAACCTTCTGTAAGTCCTGCTTAAAACACGCCGAAGGTAAATAAAAATGCACAAAGGACAAAAGTAATAGAAAATAGAAAATTATGAACATCACTAACCGCGGCGCGATGGGCCTCCGCCAGCGAACGGGCATCGGCACGACCAAACTTGAGCCCAAAATACTTCATGAAGTTCCTTACTGGCTTTGTGATATCTCCCGAGGTCTCCCCAAGCTCCGAAGGCCCTTCAAACTCCCTCCAACTCCTCAGCTCCGCAAAATGCGCACAGCCCAGCTTCCCAAGCGTCTTGCACAGGTTCATGGCACAAGAGAGCGCGCCGAAGTCCATAGCGCCTCTGATGAAATCAGGTAGCCTGGCGATATTTTCCTTGAACCAAGCAAAGATGCCAAGGGTAGAGGCATCGGAAGGCAACGGCGAAGTAGCACCACCGAAGCCACCCAGAGCCGCCTGGTACAACTCGGCCGTTGCAACCCTGGCAGCGCGCTGAGTGCCTGCCTCGAAGATCTCTCCTCATCAATCTCCTTGCGAAGGCCCTCGTTTGCATCAACGGCTTTTTGAAGCCGGGCAAGGGTAGTCCCTTCAGGTCAACATCTTTTTCCAAGGCCTCCACCTGCGCCTTCAGGTCATCAATAGCCTGACGAGCGACGTGGAGGTCCCCCGCCTCCATAGAAAGCTTCTTTTCGTCCTCTACTCTATCCAGTTCTTTTTGGAGGGCCTCAATAGCCTCATCTCACTTGATGACTTCCAAGGTCGCACACTCCTCAAGAGCCTCCGACATATGGTGGCCCTAAAAAGTAAACAATTAGTAAAACACCAAAAAAACAAAAACCGAAGACTTGAAAAACCAGAAACATGAACCACGCAGTTGTGCTTAAGGTTGTAGCATAGGAGCATGTGGAAGTCCACCTTCTTGAAATGGTGCCAGGCATGATCTGGCGATGACACAAAATATAAGAAAAAAGTAAGACAAAACTAACAGGAAAACACATACACAAAACACAACCACCTATCTTGGTGTAAAGAGCATGTAAGGTCTCCGCCCACCCACTTAGTGTATCAGCAAAGCCTTGGCCTGCAGGAGAGACAAATGTCAATAAAACACAAACAAAGATACCAAAATAAAAAGGAAACACACAAGTACAAAATGAACGAACCTCCGGAAGCAGGGCCCACGCCCCCCGCAGGACCAGCCCCAACTTATAAAGGGGCCTTCGGAGGAGCGTGCAGCCCCACACGGGCGAGATCCACCCCATCCAAAGTAGGCTTCTCCCTTGGGATAGGCGTCTTCATCACCTTGGTCAGACCAACTAACAAACAAAAATGAGGAATCTCAAATAAATGCAAACAAGCAATGCACAGCAGACCAACAAAAACCAAGTTACCTAGAAGCAAAGCACCCACGACATCACTTGAAGTCCCAGCACCCATGGTTCGCGAAGAGGTCGATGCGGTCTCCAGGACTTGGGGCAAAGCTAAGAGCGGCCGCTCTTTAGACTTAGCCTCTGATTCCTCCAAGTGCTAGGCCTTTGCTAACTGGCTAGCTTTAACAGAGGTTTCCTCACTAGTAGAGGCGAAGGCAGAACCGCTCCCACTGCATCACCCTCGGACTCAGAAGAGTCATCCCCGAGGACACAGGGCAATGGGTTCACCACGAGTGCCTCTGCCCTAGCAACTATAGTTGCCTTAACAGACGAACCCATCAGGTCTTCATTTAGGCGGCTGGCAGAAACTTGAGATTGGATAGTGACGCCAGCAGGGCAGGCGACCCTAGGCTCACCTTGAGCACTCTCGGCCACTTCCTCGGCCGAATCCATGGTGACCTTTGCCACCTTTCTCTTCTTGGCAACAGCCTTCGAGGTGTCACCTTCCTTTCTCTTCCTCGATTCAGCCCGGACCGTAGTGACAGGGCCACGGCGGACTTAGAGGTCTTCGTGGCCTTGTCCTCCATCGACTTCAATATCTTTTTAGGACCCTACGATCCCCATACTTTACCTTCATCTCCTCAAACACCTGGTTCAACCGGGGCATGGTACTGCTGATGGCGCAGCGGGACAGGTACTCCCTCTCGGAAATCTCTCCGAGTATCTTTGAGGCTGATTGTTCCACCTCATTGAAGAACTCTTCATCCATCTCAACCTCCGCTCGGGTAAGGTAGAAGCAGGGGAAGAACTCCCCCTCCGCACTGCCAAAGACCGGCAGTTTCATCCTCACCAATGTCATCCGGGGCCTATGCTTCCCAAGAGGCCAGAAGTTGGACACAACCATCTCTTCGACAAGGTCACGACCTCCAAAAAAATGGCAGGCCTTCCCAAAATCAGCGTCACACGTTGCTCTCTCTGCATCGACCTCCAAAAGGGCCTCACGTAGGTCGAAGGCTTCATCTCTCCCATGATTGAAGCGAAGGGGTACTTCTTGACCTTCAGCCCAGTCTTCGGAACAATGTGGGGGTCTTCACATAGAACCAGTACTGGGGCCAGTCCTTCTCCCACTTGTTCTTCTAGGCAAAAGATATCTCCAAGCTACCCTCCTTCTACGCCCTCTTCGCCATAAACACACAGCTGGCGAACTGGTACTCCACCTCCACGCCGTCGACCTTCGCCTTCTTGGGCTAGCACAGAAGCTCATAATATGTGCAGAAGGTGTCCAGGTTCGGCGGAGCCCCATACGTCTCATAGGCATAGCAAAATTTGCTCAGCATCAAAATATCATTGGGCGTGAGATGATGGAGTTGTACCTTGAAGGTCTCCAAGACCAACCAAAGGAAGTAGATTGGAGGGATCCGGAGGCCGCAAGCAAAAAAGTCCTTGAACACAACGGCCTCATCTACCTCCAGCTGAGGAACCGTCTCACCACGAGGGAGATGACCTTTTCCCTCTGGAAAGCAACCTTCCTCCTCCAGCAATTTTATTGCCTCCTCCATCATGAGCGAAGGCCCGAAATCCTAGGACTTGGCCATCAGAACCTTCGACTTTTTGGTAGGAGAAACAAGAACCAAGTCTCCAATGGAAGCCTCAATGCCCTCCAAACCATCTCGAGCCTCTACCGAAACGGACATGCACTCCTCATACCTATGCAGCCAACCCTCTGACCTAATGCCGAGCAAGCGGGAGTAAGGACCGCTAAAGCTGGGCCAGCGAAGGTCAGAACTAGCGAGCGAAGCCACTTCCGAAGACGAAATAAAGGAAGCAGGAGCACGAGCAAAAATCCTAAGTCCTAAGCCACTAAAGCGAAGGCAGCACAGCAATGCAGCAGGGGGCTTGGAAGAGCACTAAAGCGATGAAAGCGACGGCTCGAGGAGTTCAATGGGGGCCTCCTCACTGAACCCCTTATATAGGCCATGAGAGGACGCTTCGCATTCCGAGCTCCAATGGTCACGGCTGTTCCCCAATAGTCGTGGCCGTTCGAAAAAGCATCGGTCTCCGAGCCACCGCAACCAATCAGAAAGCAACACGTCGCCATACCAAATGGTCTAATACGGGCGGCCTAGGGGGAAGGGGGGAAAGAAAGCCTCTGCCACTCCGTACTAGTGTCACATTTTGAGGCTCACGGCCCGCTCGCACCGAACCGCGCCCTCAAGGGGGGAACTGTTGGGACACTAGAACATGGATTTGCAGAGGCAAAGGCTAATGTCGCTCAATAGGCTTGGGTCATCTTTGGATGTTTTGCAGGAGCACCCGGTGGAGAGCCTTCGCTCGAAGGCCAAGACGACGCGGGGGACCCAAAAGGCGATCCCGCAAAGCCTTCGCCGGGCATGGCGAGGCCTCCACCTACAACCGATGGGATGAGCGAAGGCCTGCCCATGAGCCCGCATAGGAGTGGCAAGAAGTCAAAGGCAGAGGCTCCGAAGCGTAGGGCGGAGACACCTACGCCCTGAGCAAAGAACTAGGTTGTGCGAAAGACGACAAAGACAATATGGCCCTAAAACTGGAAATGGGCCCTTGGTGTGCCTAAAATTAGGGCCCGAGGAACACAGGCGGTGTAGGAGGACAAAGTCAGAGAGCACCCTGAGGGTTAGAACTAGTGTAGGAATATCTCAGGAATATGCCTGAGTGGTTAGAGGGCAAGATTGTAATGTATGAAATTGGCAGGTGGTACCCTATAAAAAGGGGAAGGTGTCCTGTGTAAAGGGGTTGGTTTTTTGGTGAGTACATTTATGGAACCCTAACTAAGCTTGGGCCCACTTTCCTCTTCTCATACCTTCGCCCGGGGCACCCGGTTGGGCGAAGGTCTTCCGTGTATTACTTGCTGGAAACCCCCATTTTCTAACATCACCTCATCCTGCTCATCAAGATCCATATCCTCTCCCCCACCTATCCTCTTCTTCTATATCTCCCCCAGGATCGTCTCCCCCATCTGCAGCTTGCCATCCCTATTCACTCTCTTGAACTTACCCCCGACTTTATCTTTCTCCCCTTCCTTATTCTTCACAGCGGGAGTATTCTAGGCTTTTTGCATGGTACTGTTCATGTGCCCCTTACTATGCTCATCTCCCACCTCCTTTGGAAACAGCTCAGTCCTCACTGCACCTGGGGTCTTCTCCGAGAGTTGCATCTCCTTTATAGGGCTCGTCACCTCTTCCCCATCATCCTTCCTTCCTTTGATCACCTTCACATCTCCCTTCTCTACATCCTTCCACCAAGAAGGACCATCTGACCGAGACTTGCCTCCACTGCTCCAGCTATCAGAATGCCCATCTCTCCACGACACCGATCCTCCAAATCCCCCGATCGGCTTACGAGGTGGTATATACCGCAACTCCCTACTGTATGGGGCTTTCTCACCCTTCCCCAACTTCTTCAAACAAGCGCGATCCACATGACCGATCAGCCCGCAAATGTAGCAGAAATCAGGAAAGTGTTCATAAGTGATCGGGCACCACCGATCTCCTTTGTTTGGTCCTAGATCCGCTAAGATGCCCCGACAGAGAGGTTTGCGGATATCCATCCGGACCTTGAGACGCAGATCTCTCCCCGCCGCCAAGTCACTTCCATCCGCATCCACCTCCATGAACTCTCCAACATCATCACCAATCGCCCTAGCTGCTCCCCGATTCATCAGACCCAGAGGAAGGCGCTCCACCCGCATCCAGATCGGAACAACGGAGAAGTCAAATTCATCCACCGATTTCGCCTCATCAAACTCCATAACCACCAGGAGTTCCTTTGAAATCATCCAAGGCCCATCATCCAACGCCCTCCTCAAACCCGACGTCTGGTTGAACGAGATCAAGAAGACATTATCTCCAAGATCTTTGCATGAGATTCCCCTCGTTGGACACCAGATCCACCCCACAGACTGCTCAATGACATCAGGACGAATGTTCCTCTCCGAGAATAGCTTCGCGACCGCCTGAGGTGGGCGATCATTCTCCCCGCTCCCCGCCTCCGCCTCAAACTTGATGCTTCTCTTCTCCTCCGATGACAGTTGCAGTTTCATCAACATCCCCTCCACCCCCTCCATCGGAACCCCACTTGGGAGCCTGCCTTCGCTCTGCCAACACTCCAATGGCAATCCGGAAGTCTGTGGACACAAGGTGTAAGGGCTAGCAGAAACTAGGGTTTTGGGGTTTTCGTGGACACACGGGGCAAAACTGTACCAAACACGCAAAGGGCAGTCAGAACGGGAGGAAAACCTAGGCAAGGAATCTCCAAGGCAATGGTGCGCTCGGAGGATTAAGGAAGAGGGAGGAAGAGACGAAGATCCGGACGCCACCAACGGAACCGCTCGAGTCTCCTAGGGAAACCCTAGGTGCCGAGAAGAAAGCTTGCGGAGGTTCTTAGTATTGTGACAGTTCTAACAACATTGCCTATGGAGGTTCTGTGCTTCTAAAAGGTTTATCAGATGCTAGGAATTTGGCATTGATTGGTACACTTAACACGGTAAGAATTACATCTTACATCAATTCCTTTGTAACTTTATAAATTCATTCCCCTTCTGCTGCAGTATTTATACACCTGACATTAGTAGACGCCACTTGGGCAGACCTTTACTTTTTGCATGCATTGCTAGTACCAACTTAAATTATACATTCAGTATTGTAAGGATTATCACATATGTTTGGTTTGAATCTTGTCCAGATCATTTTCAAATGGGATTTGAGATGGTGTCCTACATTCATTAAGTTAAAGACTTTGGTGCTTAATGAAAACTGGTGTGTGCCTGATGACCTCCATCCATTAGCTTGTATTCTTGAACATGCGCCAAATTTGGAGAAGCTCAGTCTTCTCTTTTCTAAGGTATACATTTCATATATTGGAAGCTTCTTCATTTTAGAATGATTTCACTTCTTATTGATCTTACAAAAACCGTTTTTCCCACTTGGTCACTTCAGGAGCCTAAACATAAATTGGAAATTAATGGAAGCTTCAGTTCGATGGACCAATCAACTACAATTTCAGAGCAACCTAAGATAGTTGAAATCAAATGTGAAGTGGTTGATGACAGAGTTCTCTAATTCGTTTGCACATTTGGCATACGTAAGCTAACTTGACCTCCTTGTGCTTCTATATTTCTGACAATGCTGAAACCTTCAATTGTTCAAAACAATGTAAGAGATTGCAAATCTGTAAGAAACAAACTATGGAGAAAGGAAAACCCTGCACTGTATAGACACTTTGTTGGATTCACAAAGTTGTGGAGTTATTCGAACTCAATCGCATCGATAGATAATAAGAAAATTCATTTACTTTTATTGTAGTTCTGAATGTTTGACTAGTTTTGATTTGTTTGAAATGCTTACTGAATTGAGTTTTTCTGACTATATGCTAGCTTTCTTATTCGCTCTGAACAATATATGTTATATCTGCATTAACCGTTCTATAAGAAGTATATGTGACCTCTTGTCTTGCTCCCTCAGTTTTTCTGAAGGCTCATTTGACATAATCAGTTAAATGAACCTATCCACTGAATCAGGCATCATCAAGTTTGTTTCACACCACCTAATTGCATGTGTTTCTGTAGCCAAAAGAATTACTCCATATTTATTTTTAATCCAAATTCAGTAATATTTTCTATATTTCATATTACAAAAAATTCGGCATATTTAAACTGTTGCTTGGTTTTTCAACCCCCTCTTTGTTTTTGGTAATCTGTATATGATTTTTTATCACAATTCATGGCTGTGTCATTCCATTCCTTTTCTAATTGTCCTACTCCTATTCCAGTTCACATTTCTGAAAATAACTCATGCCCTGTTGATTTTGCTCCCTTTTCCCTGTCAGTTGCTTTTCATGTGAATTAATACCCTCAAGTGATCTTTTGATAATTCTAAGTTCTAACTCTTTTGTGTTTGGGAATAATGTGTGATCTGCGTCCTTTTCATCATAAGAAATGGAGATGATCCTAGTGTATCATGGTTAGAAAACTATGTAGCAAACAAATGAATTTTTTGGTTCATGGTTAGGCTATTAGAACATGTAAACCAGATTGAGATGAATGTTGGTCAAGCGAAGTTCCTATTCATGGAAGTCTGTTCAAACATTTTAAATTTCTTTCAAATAACTCAATACGTACCTTGCGTACTTCTGCATGTTACATCCGATTCTGAACTTGTTTGTCTTCTTTTCTCTACAGGTTTCAGGTTTTGATCTGACGTGCGAGAAAATTTGGCTTGATGGTGGGTCTGCCATGTCTCAATGTAGTGAAATGCAAGCTTGATGTTTGCTGTGACAAGGCTGCTGTCTTTTGTCTAGTGGGTAATTTGGGGAGAACTTTATAATCAAGTTGGTATGGACACATAGACATGTTATCTCACTTGCACTCGTAGTTCATGTGAAATTGTTTAGCGATCTGTGGACCAATTTTCTTTTGCATTTAGCATACTTTATTCAGTGTTGAGCTGCTAATATAATGTGACATGTTCTCTTCCACCGTAACTGGTCTGTTTCTGTCCCTGTTATTTGTCGCGTGCCAAGATTGAAAAGGACAACACAAGGTTGGAAAGAAAAACAAACATGAGAATTTTGAACCTAGTAAATTTTCCTGTGGTTTGGAGACTTTAGATTATTCTTGAGGCAATGCCTATTTTACCTTTAGTGTGTTGCGATGAATTGGGACAGAATGATCCCTTCTCTCTCTTTTAATAGAACCATCCTAGCTCGTGTTTCATGGGAGGGATAGGTCGATCTAGAGCTTGACAAAAAGCTCGCAGCTCGGTAGCTCGCTACACTCGGCTCATTAATGGCTTGGTTCAGTTATATTTTTCAGCGAGCTGAGTTTAGCATTTTAGCTCGTAGTTAAGCCAGCTCATGAGCTAGCTCACAGAACCTAACGAGCCGAAGTTGTTGGTCTTAAACCTATTAGTTTGGTATGACTTATTAGCTTGCAGTTTTATAATTGGTGTGGCTGGACTTAGACCTTATAAACTTGGGATTACTATGACTCTATCACTTTGTGTTTAAATGGATGTACGCATAATCAATAGTGGATTATGGATTTACTAGTAAATATACCCGTGCATTGCAACATGAGCGAATAAGCTATGGAACATTCATAGAAAACGAGAATAAGAATGCTGAGAAAGTAAGCTATATATAATATTAATGGAAAATGTGAACAAGAATGCTATATAACTATTTATATATTATCCTTCTATAAAATTTTAAAACTACAATTTATTTTACGATGATTATGACATTGACAATATTTGAGGATCTATAAAAATCTATAATTTTAATTTTTTTTATTTCAATCGGCAAGAAGTTAGTTGTTGATATGTCAAGTATTGGTATGTCCTATGGTTATTATGACGAGATTGATCTCTCTATTATCCATGTGGCAACACTCATTGTGGATTGCACTGATGCATGTAGAGGTGTATTTATTTAGACAGGACTGGACAACAAATTACCCAATATTTTAATTTACAGTTTAATTAATTTGACCATAGATTGGACCATGTTGTAATCAATTGGACCATGTTCTAATAAGAAAAGTCTTATTCTTAATCAAAATTTTATCGCAATTTGGAGGTGAAAATTTGAACGGTCTTTTATTATTGCTTTTATGTTTTTTCTTTAGTATTTATGGGAAACAAACAATAAAAGAAATAAGAACTCCATTCATGGATGCATGGGAAGGAAAAGCAAAAGAGGGAAAATTGTCTCATACTTTACTAACATGAACGAAAAAAAGAAACTTAAAGGTACTGCAAAGTTATGGTATTTTTGAGGTCAAATTACAAAAGTTCATGCACGAAACTTTATTTTCTCCATAAAAGTTGTGTGGCTGCTGTAAATATGTTTCTTTCCTCACCTCGAAAGCTCGAACGACGGCCTGAGTTCCTTCACCGCCTCTCGCCTCGTCTCACCCGCTTGCCTAGCCTCGTCCCTATGTATGGAGTATGGACCATGGATTTAGGTGTAGTACAATAGTATATTGTTATGAGTATATATGTCAGGATATATGTTAGAGGAGTCAAGGGCCTATTGGGCCTTAGCCCGTTAGGGTTAATTAGTCGCTTGCTTAGGAGTCAAGTAAACCTCTCTATATAAGGAAAGGAGATGTATCAATCTAATCAAGCAAGAGATTAGAAGGAAATCCCTTCTCTCTTGCCGGCCGTGGGTGAAGCCCCGCGGCCGGCCTCCCCCAGCGCCCTTGCAGCCCTAGGCGCCGCCATGGTGAACAGTACCCACGGACACTGTAGCTCCATGGTACTGTAGCACGCCCTCTCATCTCCATCCCAACTGGCCACATAACATCTAGTATCAGAGACCATGGCTGGATCCTACGCCACTGTGCCCTTCTCCACACCGCTCGGCGCACATCCCTGGGCTGTGCCGGCCCTGTTCTCCCCACCGCCGCCGGACGGATCCTACGCCGCCGTGCCCTTCTCCACACCGCTCGGCGCACATCCCTGGGCTGCGCCGGCCCTGTTCTCCGCAGCGCCGCCGGCCGGATCCTACGCCGCCGTGCCCATCTCCACGCCGCTCAACACACATCCTTGGGCTACGCTGGCCCTGTCCTCCGCAGCTCCACCCGTGTTCACCACCGCCACAGCCACTGTGGCACCCTTGCCTGCGTAGCAGCCTGCACCTTCCACAGGCGCCTTCGGTGAGTGGATGGTGACCTTCGACCACCTGCAGCGCCAGATGGACGTCCTCGCAACCCTCGTCCATAACATTGGCGCACAACCGGCGTCGGTGCCCTTATCCGCGGGCGCGCAGTCAGCGGGCCTCGTCCTCGGCGTGCCGGTGCCTCCATTCACAGGTGCACAGCCGGGCGATCAGATCACCACTGCGGCAGCAACCGTGCAAGTGGCGCTTGCGCAGAAGAGTGATTGTCAGTCTGCGACGGTGCGATTACAGGCTGCAACACACGGCCTCCTAGCGCGGCGCCGACTGCAGGAGATGCGCCGGCAGATGCATGAGAAGGCCTTGACGGCGATCGACCTCGGCAAGGGGGGGCACGACCTTGCCCCGTCGAACGGCCAACAACAATCGCGCCGACCCGTTGCTGTCTCCAGACACGAGCATGGTGCTGTTCCCGTAGGCGGCGCACTCCAATTCTATGGGAGTGATGATAGAAGAAGCGCACTCCTCTTTGTCACCAGCGGAGACGCGCTGCCTAGCGCTGCCGTGTTTCGCTGTCGGCCGCCACGAGGTCGTCTTCGCTGGTCGCTGTTGCGATTGATTCCAGACAGCCGTACCCGTGCAACCCTCTCATTTCGATGGTCTCTATGGGATCCAGGCGGCTACACGAGCCTGTCCAGCACGCGGAGGGTGTCCGCCGCATCTTCAGGAGTCAAGAATAAAGAGTCGAGTTTATTTGAAATAAGCCGAGATGTAAAAGGCTTGTTCTTAGGTGTTCAGTTTGTGTCTAGTAAAGCCATAGTTAGCATCATTGTTTGGTCGCAGCTCGAGGACGAGCTGCATGTCCGGGTAGGGAGTAGTGTTAGAGGAGTCAAGGGCCTATTGGGCCTTAGCCCGTTAGGGTTAATTAGTCGCTTGCTTAGGAGTCAAGTAAACCTCTCTATATAAGGAGAGGAGATGTATCAATCTAATCAAGCAAGAGATCCGCAGCGCCCTTGCAGCCCTAGCCGCCGCCGCGGTGAACAGTACCCGCGGACACTGTAGCGCACGGTACTGTAGCACGCCCTCTCATCTCCATCCTGACTGGCCACATAACATTGGTACGTGACTGGAGGATTGAGAGGAGAGAGTCGAGGGAGCGACGGTGGCTACTGCACTACAGTAGCCGCGGCGCTACAGTACCGCGGGTCCTGTTCATATGACTGGAGGATTGAGAGGAGAGAGTCGAGGGAGCGACGGTGGCTATCGCGCTACAGTACCCGCGGGTACTGTTCACGTCTAGGGTTGTGACTGTGAGAGAGAGAGCCGGCCGCGGAGCGTTTGCTCACGGCCGGGCAAGAGGAAAGAGTTTCCTTCTTAATTCTTGCTTGATTAGATTGATACATCTACTCTCCTTATATAGAGAGGTTTACTTGACTCCTAAGCAAGTGACTAATTAACCCTAACGGGCTAAGGCCCAATAGGCCCTTGACTCCTCTAACAATATATTAATTTATTTGTTTGATTTAAGGCTTATGGATGAGTTGTTTTTATATTCTTACTATTCTCAAGCTTTAGATAAATAAATAGATTATGTTTTACGTGTTTTTTTTGTTTGATTTAAGCCATTTGCCCGCTCCTCGTCCCTTTCTATCTACGCCTACACTATTCATATTCTCCTCTTCGGCTCCTCCAATCGTCGGTGTGACCATGCTCGTGGTGGCTGGCTGGCCACCGTCCCCCGGCCCACCGTGCTTCATGCTCCGGTCTCTGCTCCTCCGTGATGGACTGACAGCGTGACTGGGAAGCGGCGACATGCGCTATTTTCGTTTGGGTTTGTTTGGCTGATAAGCCATGGCTGAAAGTACTATTGGCTGATTTAGTGTGAGAAAAAAAATATTATTCGTTGGCTGAAAAAATACGACTTATAAGTCAAACAAGTCCAAGCGAACAGGGCCACAAGGGACGCCTGTAGATTCCACCATGGTTGTCCTCATGCACCTTCCCAATCTACAGCTGCACAGTGCAATCACTGCACAGGTGATTAGTTGAGAGTACAGGGTCTGGATGTTCGTTTTTCAATATTCGATGAATGTCAATGTAAATTTTGCCAAATTTTTCAAGATTTTCCGTCACATCGAATCTTTAGACGCATGCATGAAGCATTAAATATAAATAAAAAATAAAACTAATTACACAGTTTAAACGAAATCCACTCGAAGAATCTTTTAAGACTAATTAGACTATAATTGGATACTAATTGCTAAATAACAACGAAAACCGCTACAGTAATATTTTGTCAAATTTTTTGGCATCTAAACAAGGCCTAAGTGCATTGATGTTTGCAATATTTCATATCATAGGGCCTGTGCAGAGGAGAAAGTGATGTAATTAAAAGTCGATTGCCGTTTTGTGGCGCATGTTGACGAGACTAGTGATTCATCTATTCTATTAAGGAACGTTTTTAATGCATAATGTTATCTTAATTTTTGAGGGACCATGACATTTTTATATTTTTTATGTATAATTAAGGATGACGACGGCTAAAGTGGTATGGATCATGATGATAATGACCCTGTTCGCTTCTCTTATAATCCGTACTTTTCAGCTTCTTTTTTCAG